GGCATTCTTGTTGCAACTGGTCCAGGACCCCGACAGATCGAAGTGACCAGCCTTCACTTCGTTCTATGAAAGGAGTAACAGTGGTTACGCAATAAAGCCCAAAAAACCAGTAAACAACAATCAAACACAAAAATGCAGTGGAATACATTGCAGGTAAGTCTTTTTTATTCATTTCATTTAAGAAAAAGTAAGGTCTAGCGTTATTTAGCATTCGCAGATCTCCATAATATATTTCTCATACAAAGACTCTTATATTTTCAACGGTCGCCTGTAACGCGACACCGGCGCATCACCTATGGTATCTAAATTACATTACACCCTCCCCTCGTAACGTGAGTTTGGGCCGCCTTTGGTTATCCCAGTGAAGCTTGAATTTTACTGGTCAGGAGCTAATTTTCACAAATCTTGCAGCATTCTTGTAGTTGCACCCAAATAACTGTATTGATTATACAGTATTGAAACCCAATGGAATCACAAGTTGTATTCCACAAATTGGGTGGTTTTGGATCAGGTTTGAGTGTTTAAGCTGTCTTGCTGTGGATACAGTTTTCAAGTGACATTTTTGTTGTTGTTGCAGGCTATTGATGAAGCTGCATTCAGTGTGGCTTATGCCAATATGTGCAGGTGCCTTATTCCTGTAAGTAAAAAAACAATGTGTGATGACTCATTGAAAATCAGTTTCTGCTCGTATCTCCTGTTTCATTGCCATTTCACATTGCATTCACAGGAATGTTGATTCTGTTGTTTCATTGGGCTTATAACTCTTTCTCGCACGGAGCCTTGAGCTGTAGCACTAAGAACAGTTTTGTCGTTTTCACGTTTTCTTTGCAGAAAAAAGTGGTGGTGGAGAAGGAGGGGGTAAAGAAAGATATATCCTTCCGCAAGATTCTGCTAAACAGATGTCAGAAAGAGTTTGAGAAAGAAAAATCTGTTGAGAAGAGAATTCATGAGAAACTGGAGCACCTTTCAAAAGAAGGACTAACTGTAAGCCAATAGTACTTTTAGGCTGGATTCTGTTATGAAAATTAGTGTCTTGATTGATTATTTTGTTAACTAACACTCAAACTGGTTCTGCATTTAACTAAAAGTGCGGATATGGTATTCAATGTAATAATCATACATTCAGTATAATGCACATACATTTATTTTACTAACATAATAATCTGAGAAGACAAAAAAGCCACATGCAGATGTCATGACGAAGTCATGACAAAGTATAATGTATGAAGCTTTATCTTATAACATGCTTCTCTAATTTGAGTGGAAATTAAGTCTGGGGAGTATGGATACAGATTGGTAAGGGAAACTTGAAATAACTAGTTTGGCTACAGATAAGACAATTGTGTGTAATTTAGAGAAAAGAAGTGATTTTTGTAGATCACAGTGACCCCCATCTTGGTCTTTGAATTATTTAAAGCATACATGGGTTTCTGTGCACAATCCTGTACCATTTTAGATTCCAACATTCAGGTATTTTAAACTCAAAACTTGTGTTTACTTTTCTTAGGAAGAAGAACTGGAGGCAAAGAAGAAGGAACTTCTGAATGAGGAGCATCTGGCCAAGCGAAGAACGCTGGGAAACATTCGTTTTATCGGTGAACTCTTTA